GTAGTCTGATTTGGGGTGCATATATATTTATGATTGTTCTATCTTCTTATCAAATTGACCGCTTTATCATTATGCAATAAACTTCTCTGTCTCTTGGTACCGTTTTTGGCTTAGTCTATTTTGTCTGATATAAGTATAGCTACCCTGCTCTCTTTTGGTTTCTATTTGCATGGAATATCTTTTTCCATCCCTTCACTTTGAGCCTATGTATATCCTTAAAACTGAAGTAAGTCTCTGGTAGGCAACATATAGTTAGGTCTTGTTTTTTTTGTTTGTTTTTATAATTAGACATTCATCATCCTTTATTTTTTATTTATGTTTTTAAAGATTTTATTTACTCATTTGCCAGAGGGAGCACAAGAAGGGGGGAGCAGCAGGCAGAGGGAGAAGCAGGCTGCCCACCGAGTGGTGAGCCCGATGCGAGGCTCCATACCAGGACCCTGGAATCATGACCTGAGCTGAAGGCAGACCCCCAACTGACTGAGCCACCCGGGCATCCCTAGGTCTAGTTTTTTTGGGTTTTTTTAAAGATTTTATTTATTTATTTGATAGAGAGCAAGAGCAAGAACACAAGCAGGGGGAGTGGGAGAGGGAGAAGCAGGCTTCCCGCTGAGCAGGGAGCCTGATGTGGGGCTTGATCCCAGGACTCTGGGATCATGACCTGAGCTGAAGGCAGACACTTAATGACTGAGCCACCCAGGCGCCCCTGTAGGTCTAGTTTTTTAATCCATCTAGCCACTGTGTCTTTTAACTGGAGGATTCAATCCATTTACATTTAGAGTACTGATAAGTAAGGACTTACTAATGTCATCTTATTGTTTTCTGGCTGTTTTGTAGTTCTCTTATTCCTTTCTTCCTCTCTTGCTGCCTTCCTTTGTGAAATGATTTTCTGTTGTGGTTTGTTTTGATTCCCTTCTCGTCTTTTGTGAATGTACTGTAGGTTTTTGCTTTGTGGTTATTATGAGGCTTACATGAAATATCTTATAGGTAGAGGAGGGTGGGGGGATGGGTTAGCCCAGTGATGGATATTAAGGAGGGCACGTATTGCAATGAGCACCGGGTGTTATACGCAAACAATGAATCATGGAACACTACATCAAAAACTAATGAAGTACTATATGATGACTTAACATAATAAAAAAATCTTATAGGTATATCAGCATATTTTACACTGATAACTTCAATCACATACAAAATCTCTATGCTTTTACTTCCCCCTCACCGTTTTTGATGATATACCCTACTTCTTTTTGTGTTCATTAACAAATTATTATAGCTATTTTTAATATTCATCCTTTAAGTCAAGTGGATAACACTCCATCATAGTATATAGTATTAGAGTATTCTGAATTTGACTATATTCTTACTTTTCCCAGTGTGTGATATATTTTCATGTTACTAATTAGCGTCCTTTCATTTCGGCTTGAAGAACTCATTTCAGCCTTTCTCATAAGGCAAGTCTAGTGGTGATGAATTCCCTCAGCTTTTGCCTGAGAAAATTCTTTACCTTTCCTTCATTTCTGAAGGACAGCTTAGCCACAAAGTATTCCTGTTTGGCAGTTTTTTTGGGGTGGGGGAGTTGTTTTGTTTTCTTTCAGCACTCCTGCTAGATCTCACTCTTCTGGCCTGTAAGGTTTCTGCTGAGAAATCTGCTAATAACTTTATGGGGGTTAACTTGAAAGTTACAGTCCTTTTTTCTCTTGCTGCTTTTAAGTTTCCCTGGTTTTGATTTTTTTAGAGTTTTAGTATAATGTACCTCAAAGAGGATCTCTTTAATTTTGTTTGGTGACTTACGAGCTTCATAAATTTGGATGTCCAAATTTTCCGCCAGGTTTGGGAAGTTCTCAGCCATTATTTCTTTAAATAAGCTTTCTGCTCCTTTCTGCCCCTTCTCCTACTCTTGTCTTTCTGGAATTCCAATAATTCACGAATTGGTTCTCTAGATGGCATTCCATAGAACACCGAGGCTTTCTTCACGCTTTCATTCTTTTTCTTTGTTCTCCTCTGACTGGATAATTTCAAAGTCCCTGTCTTCTAACTCAGAGATTCTTTCTTCTGATTGATGTCCTATTGATGCTATTGTTTTCCTTTTCATTCATTGTATTCTTCATCTCCAGAATTTTTCATTCTTTGATTTTTCTGTTCTACTTTTCATTTTATTCATGTATTGTTTTTCAGATATTGTTGAATTGTCTGTGTTTTCTTACACCTCATGGGAGTTTTCTTAAAACAGTTATTTTGAATTCTTCATTGGGTAAATCATAGGTCTCCATGTCTTTGGGTTCAGTTACAGAAAGACTGTGATCCCTTGGTGAGGTTGTTACTTTGATTTTTCATGTGCCTGGAAATTTTGCATAGCTTTGCTCTTCAAGTAGCAGTCAACTCTTCCAATCTTTACTAACTGCCTTTGGAGTGATAGATACTCTTAGCCCTCCTAGGTTCTGAGGCTATCTCAGACCATATATGGGTACATCGTCCACACTTCTTGCTCCCCCTTGTGGCAACATTTTTAGCTTTGTATGCCTTCTCTGTATCCTGCAATGCACTGGGCAGAGTGCTGTCAGCCTCTCTCATTTTCCCAAATGTGACACTAAAGTTTGTGATCTCTCTTTGGCCTGCAGATTTGAGCCAGCTTTCTGCATGTGTTCACTAGCTAGCTATCAGATTTCTCACAACTGCCATCAGGAGTGTGCACAGCAAGGTGGCCAGAGTGGTAGGGGTGTGACTGAGGCATGTGGAGTGCTGGGGGTTGTCCATGGGCCAGTTGCGGGGAGCCATGGGTGAGACATTCCCAACAGCTTGTGTTTCTTCCAAGAGTTTGAATGCAGTCAGTAGGATCCACATTTCTTCAAGGCCCTCCAAGAGTTCTGTTGCTCTCCCAGCTTTTTTCTGCCTCCCAGTCATGTACCTCACGATTCAGTACTCTGGATGAGTAGAGAAAGGAGACCCGTTGGCAGTGTCCTGCACAGCTGGGAAAGCCAGGTGCATACTCACACATTCTCCCTTTCACCTGTGGGACAAATAATAGGCTGAGGTCTCTCTCAGCCTTAGGCTGTGCTGCCTTGGAGGAAGGGTGATGCAGGTAAAGTCAAGCTCTTTCTCACACCCACTTCAATGTGTCCAGACTTGTATATTTTTTTTTTTTTGCTCCGGTGAAACTTCTCCAGAAATCTGGACTTCCACAAAGGCTCTTTTGTCCATAGGTAATTGTCTCAGGTAGTATATTCTAGGGTTCCTGGACCATGGCTGAGAGAGACTGGATTCAGTTCATGGTCCATAGCTGGGACCAAGATCTGTCTACCTATTACCTGACACACAGGTAGGCGACACTCCTCCCAGGTTCTTTGGCATATGATGCTGGATCCTGCACTTCCCTGAAAGGCACTTTTGTCTTGGGTGAATGCCAAATTTTTGTTTTTGGGGGGTGGGAAGAGACAAAAATGAGGGATGTCTTTTGCTACCATGATGCTATTGTCAGAATCTTTTAATTTAAAGTGCACCTGTTCTCTCTAGGGTAACTTTGATTCCTGCAATCATTAAGTCTGGACTTAATCTTAGATTCCAGTTTTGAATGGGTAACTTTTTAAAATTTAAATTCTACTTTTCTTGACTAGTAAGTCCTTAATATGGTTACTGTTCCAAAAGAACCAACAACTAACAGTCATTCTTCTATGTTTGTCCTAAAATGGTCGCTTTCATCAAAAGGCTGGAATGTGTATCTCCACCTAAGGCCAAGTATAGCCTGACCCTCTGTAGGGGCGGTGAGTTGGGAGATGCTCAAAAGACATCGAGTTAAGCAGGTTGAATGAATTAGCTAGATAATGTTGACAACCAACAACATGGGATAATACAGAAGGCTACTGGCACAGTTCTAAATGCAGCCATAGAAATAGCTCCCCTACTCCTTGGTAGAGCACAGTAACAACAGTTCATAAATAGTACCTAAAAATGGAGAGTGTGATGTAGATAAGACTGTCAACAAGTAGCATGGTCTTAGCACACTGGAAAGGGAAAAGCATAAGTCAAGAGTACAAAAGCATCCCAGCCTTTGAAGATGCATTGTGAAGGAAAGCTTTTGGATGAAGAAATAAACCAGGGACCCCAAGTGGGCACAAGCTGAAAACTGGGTGTCAAGAATAAGACACAAAAGATCAGAACCCAAACAGAATTATATATAATGCATTAATTCAGGACTGGATTATAGCTCCTTAAATCTTCAAGGCGCTAACCAGGCCTGGTCATTCTTGTGCGTAGGTGTATATTTACACATGGCAGTAAGGATAAAAATGGCTCTAGCTTGGGGGGGACAGATGCAAGGGCTGGGACCAAGACAGGAGTTGATATAAGAGCAATGTAAATTTCACTGGCTTGACAAGGGAGCCCACTGAACCCTTGTTTAAACACCAGTAGTTTTAATAGAAAATACTGAATCTCTATGTTTAGACAAAGCTTTTGTCCTTCTCTACTAAACACTCAAGGAAAAATGACAAGCCTAGAATTAGCATTTAACACTGAAACAACATGTTTCTAGTAGCATGTTATGAGCCTCCAGATGAAGAAGCACAAGAAGTCTCACCAAACATACACCATATAACCATGACATTTCTGACAGGTAAGGAGACCAAGATTCTATCCTGGGCTAAAAACAACCAACCTAGTAGCTTCCTTTCTTCTGAGTCTATGAAGTAATCTTTATGATTCTCTTCAATATGAAAAGTCAATGGACAGTATACTTTTAGCAGGAAAAAAACACAACATTATTCAAATGGGTAAATTTAAATTCTGCTTTTAAATGGCCAACACCTACACAAAATAAAGTAAAATATAAAATAAACAAAAACAACATTCTTATTTGGGAAAGCACTGTATACGTTGCAGACTAAGAGAAAAGATTTTATATTAAATATTACAAATCTCACCTAAATCCTCATAGTTTTTTTTAATTTCTAAAAATTGTTAGTCATCAAATGAATTATTTCTTCTAAAAGAACACTCCAATATTTTGCATTTCAGAAATTTTAATAGTTTTATTTGGCAAAAGAGAAGCCTAAGAATTTTTTAAAAAACATTTCCAGAGGGAACATCCTTTTACCATAAAATAAATTTGTGTGATTTGGCAGGACAAATTTCAAATGTATATTTTTTTATATACGTGCCAATTTCACAATTAATAACAAAAAGATAGTTGAAGTATTTTAAAAATGTAAAAACCAGTCCAGGCAACATAACTATACAATCTTGCTGTAAAAGTACTTATATCAAATTCTGCCCAAAATATGTATGCAATATAGTAAATTTTAGTTCCTCAAGTCATTCTTCACTGCCGGCTGGCTTTGCCATTTTCTGTTGTCTCCATTCTGAAAAACAGAGAGAAAAAATGAGTGGTAAAACAAAACATTCAGTAACTACCGTATTTTTTCTCCAACTTTCACATCAAATTAAACTCTATATATTCATAGGACAAAAGAACATCAGTCCTTTAGAAAATGACTATAGTTAGGGTCCCTCTGGTTACTCTACCTTCGTTGTTTCACAGAGAGAAAACTGAAGCTCAGAGAAATAAAGTCACTTTCCCAAAGTTTCATTTCAAAAGTCACTTTTTTCATGATACCCACTCAAGCTTAAAACTAAGGAAAAAAACCTCTACCATTTAGTCAAAAATTTATTTCCTTTTCCCTTAAAGAAACTCCTTTACCAATACATTTTCAAGAGGATATAAAAGGATATTAAAATAATCATACCTGAGACTTCTTCAGTTAAAATCAACATTCCTAATACTGTATTACTTAATAGAAAAGTATTTTCCCCCATTTTTTATAAGATTCAGTATTGTACATTAAGTGTTCCCTGATTTTTCCCTCTATGATGTTTACTGAGCAATGAAATCCTCTAAGGAGTAAATACTTTCAGGGTTACGATCAATATAATCAAGTCTTTTATAAGTACCAAGAATCAAAGCAGTTAATTTTTTCTCTTTATAAGTAACATGTATCAACTCATTATATTAGTAATAAAAAATTGCTGAACCCAACAAACAAGCAGAGTTTATTACTTTAACTTATAATAAAGCAATTAAGAAAACCAATTTCTACAATAAATAATACAGACCCATTTTCCTCTTTAAGATGTTGATATAATTCAGCTCTGTTATTAACAGAGTTCAAACGTCCAGCAAACTCCTGATGTTTTCTAGAATTGGCAGTATTGATTCTATTACTCCACAGGGATAATAAGGACACTGGCCCTGGTGTTACATGTGAAAGAAGAGGAAAAAGGTAGAACAATTCATTACTTCAAATTTTCAAATTTAAAAATTTCACCTTTAATTCTATTGTTCATTTTATATAATTAAAGCAATATCATCTTTCCCTTATTCTAAATGTTTAGGGGTTCCCTAAGACCAGCTACTAGTTTGGTGATTTGCTGGAAGGATTCAAGTACCTAAACATAAAGTTACAGTCTGAGCTAAGAATCACTGCAGCAACAGAATAAGAATACACAGCCGGATCAGTGTAAGAGCAAAAGATACACTAAGCAAAGGACAGAAGAATCCACTTGCAGGCTTTCCATGCTCTCTCCCTACAGTGAGGGTTCACACCAAGTGCATAGTCCTTCCAGCAGCAAAAATGCAGCCATGTGTGTACAAAATTTCTGCCGGGAAAGCCAGCATTAAGACTCAGAATCCTGGGTTTTTATTAAGAGCTGGACCCAAAAGCATTCTCTACCAAACTACAATTACCAAAAGTCCAGACTCTCAGGTGGAAGGCAAGTGTTCAGTTCAGATGTAAAACAAAATAACTTCATCATTTAGGGAATGTTTTAAAAGCCAAGTTTCCGGATGCCAACCAAGGGCCAACCTTGTAAGCAGGCTTTTATCTTAATGATAACAGTTTCAAGCTTGCTATGTTCTCTCTTCCCTGCACAACGTGAAAAAAAGGCAAAGCACTAGCATAGCCAAAACAATTTTGAAAAGTAGAAAAAAGAAGACTCACTACCTGATTTTAAGACTCTGCTTATAGTGATCATGACAGTATTGTATTGGCAAAAGGGCAGACACATGGACCAAAGGAACAGAAAAGAAAACCCAGAAATAGATTCCCACATATAAAATCAACTGATATCTGATAAAGGTACAAAGGCAATTCAGTGAAGAAAAAATAGTCTTTTCAACAAATGCTGCTGGAACAATTGGGACATTACATAAAAAAAAAAACACTGACTCATATCTTACACCATATGGAAAAAATTAAAAAACAAACTCAAAATGGATCATGGCCTAAATGTAAAATCTAAGTATAAAAATATGTAGGAATAAACTTCTTTGACTTTGGGTAATGCAAAGATTTCTTATAGATAACACCAAAAGCATAACCATAAAAAAATTTTTGATATACTGGACTTAATCAAAATTAGAAATTCCAGCTCTGCAAAACTCACTGTTAGGAGAAAGACAAACCAGACTGGAAGAAAATATTTGCAAATCACATATCCAACAAAGCATGGTTTCCAGAAAAAATAAAAGAATTCTCAAAATCCAACAAAAAACTCTCGGACAACCCAATTTAAATATAACAATATCTGAATGAGCCCTTTATTAAAGAAATATATACAGATGGAAATCAAGCAAATGAAAAGAGGCTCACCAACATCAGTCATGAGGGAAACAGAAATGAAAACCACCATGAAATACCACTACATACCTATCAGAGGAGAAAAAAAAGAAATCCAACAAGTGCTCTCGAGGATGCAGAACCACCAGAACTCTCATTAATTGCTGGTGGGAATGCACAATGATACACCCAGTTTGGAAAAATGAGTTGGCAGATACTAATAAAGCTAGTTATATACAATGGGTTCAAAAAAAAACCACTGACAAACACACAATACAGATGAATCTCAAATGCATTATGCTATATCAAATAAGCCAACCTCAACAGGCAGCATACTTTATGATTTCATTTATATGGCATTCTGAAAAAGGCACAATTATAGGAAGAGCAATATATCAATGGTTATGCGGGACTGGAGGTAAGGAGAGTATAAGATGATTACAAAGGGGCAGTCCCAGAGAATCTTCTGGGTGGTGGAACTGTTTAACTCACAGAATTGCACACCAAAACGAGTTAAAATTACTGCATATACATTTTCCAAAACTAAATTAACAAGTCTTTTCTTTTTCTTATTATAAAACTAATACATGTTCATTAGATAAAATTTAGAAAACAACACATAAAGGAAGAAATAAAATCATCCATAATACCCCTGGCTCTAACAACTATAAATATTCTAGTCTTTCTTCAGTGCCAAGAAAATTACATTTTGGTTTTTCTGTTACTGCATCATACAAAGACAGCTAAAGAGATTTTCACCAAATCTAGATGGCCTGTTTGGAATAGCCCAACCTTATATGCAGAGTTTATGTCAGGCACAAAATTTACTTTGGAGAGTCTTGGGAAGTCATTTTCCAAAACAGATGAAACTGAAGTATATAATAAAGGCCCATATAAGTTGTTGATCAGAAGAGACATGTGACTTAGGTTGTAAAATAGAATGGAAGAAAAAACAAATTTCAAGTACCAGTCTTGAAAGGAAAGTTACGAGGGTTAAAGACAGCGATTTGCAATCAAGCTGCTTCTCATACTGGCCACTCTATTTAGTGCTTCCAGTGTGTGAAGCATCAGGGATCTATCTAAAGTGACAAAAAAATAAAGTGACAAGCAGGTGTATGTGTGTATACAAACTTTTTAAAAATAAAATGGAGATCATGGTATATATGGTTTTGTAGCCTGCTTTTTTTTCTTTACCTTATATATTCATTCATTCACTCATTCAACAAGTAATAGTTAAACTTCTACTATGGACCAGGAAATTGAGTGGTAGTGATGTAACAGTAAATTTATTTTATTATTTTTTCTTGTTATTTTTTTAAAGATTTTATTTATTTGTTTGTCAGAGAGAGAGACAGAGGGAGCACAAGCACTGGGAGTGACAGGCAGAGGGAGAAGCAGGCTCCCCACTGAGCAGGGAGCCAATGAGGGACTTGATCCCAGGACGCTGGGATCATGACCTGAGCTGAAGGCAGACGCTTAACAGACTGAGCCACCCAGGTGTCCTGAACAGTAAATTTTAAAAAGGCCCAGCATTTTGGGCAGCCGGCTGGCTCAGTTGGTAGAGAATGAGACTCTGAGTCTCCAGGCCGTGAGTTCAAGCCCCACATCGGGCATGAAGCCTACTTAAAAAATAAAAAGCCCAATCTTTTAAAATGTTTCAGATTAGTAGCAGAGGCAAGATGTCAATAAGCAATGTCAACGCAGGACTCTATGTGTTACCCCAGTGTAATCCTGGGGGGCAATGGAAGCACCTAACTTAATTATGAATGGAGATCAGGTAAGTCCTTCCTGAAAAAAGACTGCTTAAGTTGAAATCTGAATGATACCCATTAGCAAGAGGGAACAGTAATCATTATCCTTGGGCTATATAAATTCCAACCTATGGACACACAGTTATTTAGTTATTTTCTTACTAATAGGATTTTGGTTGCTTGTAACTCTACCACTAATAAATCATTTTTAGAGTTCTATTTTCCAAGCAACATCGAAGCATTGTTTAGATTAAACCTAAATTTCTCATCCTAATCAATTGGCCTATTTTGGCCTGTGAGAAATAGAATAATGTATCAGATATTTATTTATTTTCCAGGCACTCTGGCAAATGCCTGAAAGGCAAATATGACAAGATCATCCTTATCTCTGACTTCAAAGAAATTAGTGAATGGAGAATATTTACATGTATCACATTATATATACGCTACAGGAAAAGTATATAAAAAACAAACAAGGCTTCTCCCTAGGATGAGCTGCAAAAATCATAATATGGCCAGCCCCCAGGTCTTATTGCCTTAGGGAGGCATAGTGACAAGAAAACAGACAGTCCTTTGTTACACCATTTGCCATTTATCCTAAAAGGACTAAATCTAATTTATCTTCAAGACAACTAAAGCCTACAATTTCAGGAACTCCCAAACCCAATTCATATTTCTGATACCCAGAATTCCTTCAAGAAGAAATTAAGCATTTCAGTCTATAAATAAGAGATAAAATGAAATTAAAACATTGTGGCTTTTTTTTTTTTTACAATGAAAAGGTATTACTTATAATACCTTACTGAAACTCATCCACACCACATTTAGATGGGTAATATTAGATCTTTCCCTAAGTAGGAGTTTAAGGAAAAGAGTTTGTGTTCAATAAACCTAGCATACCTAGTATAAAGTCAGACACATAAATGAATTCCAGTTTACATAATTAAAATTTCTTAAAACATAGACTTTATAATAAAAATGCTTATTTCCAAAGGCTTCATTAATGAAGGTATGACACTTTTTTTTTATTATGTTATGTTAATCACCATACATCATTAGTTTTTGATGTAGTGTTCCATGCTTCATTGTTTGCGTATAACACCCAGTGCTCCATTCAATACGTGCCCTCCTTAATACCCGTGTCACCAGGCTAACCCATCCCCCCACCCTCTCCCCTCTAGAACCCTCAGTTTGTTTCTCGGAGTCCATAGTCTCTCATGGTTCGTCTCCCCCTCCGATTTTCCCCCCTTCATTTTTCCCTTCCTTCTATCTTCTTTCTTTTTTTTTTAACATATTGACACTACTTTTCCTTTAATGCCAACAAATATATTTTCTGCCTGTATTTTCCAAGGCTATAAAGAGGATCTCCCAAACAACATCTAAGAATAGTTAGTAGCTCTTCCTCACATATGCAACAATATTAAATGACACTGCAGAAAACAAAACTAAATTGGAAAACTTTTTACAAACACAGTTACCACCACAGTTCTTACCCTACCTTTTGATTTTTCTACTGGTGGAGTTTCATCCATCTCAACAAGGGGCTTTTTGTTTGGAGGTTCTGGGGAATCAGGTGAATCTTTTATAATCTCAGCTTCAGCCAACTCTTCTTTTCCACGTTCTAAGATTCCTTTTAATCTTTTAAAGGGACAAACAATAAAATTTAAAGTTTAAATTTTTAAAAATCTAACTGGTTCAATAATTAAACTAGACTCTACAAATTGGTTTTAATAAAAGATAGCTGCTCTCACAGAGGAAACCTAGAAACTAATCAAAAGATAAACCTCAACCTAAAATCAGGTAAGAGAACTTAATGAATTAAACACAAGTTTCTCTTTTCCTTCATCATAATAATATGAGTAATTCAGTAATACTTACTGTAAAGTAAGAAAAAATGGGAGGAAAATTTAAGAAGTTAAATTTAAAAATGTCAGAAATGTGATCTTTGGAAGAAATGTCACAATTTTAATTTTTACAAATATGGACAAAATACTTCAAATTACAAATAAGATTAAGAAATCTACTACCATTTGTGTCCTGGTTTATACGCTGTGGAAATGTATTTACATTCCACAAATTAAGAACTAAACTCCAAGCTCATTTTGAGTTTTAACAGAGAACAGAAACACCTCAAAATAAAGATCAGTGGTGTCTGAACGAGAATACCTTTTCCCCCCATTCTTAAAATGAGCTAATTCTGCTTCAGAAGTTCAGTAGTCCAAAGAAAGAAATGAACTTCTATGGTCAAAGAGAATAAAATGTTCTACTTATTTTTGGATGAAATGATATGATTTCTAAATTATTTTCAAAATACTCCCATCTTCCACATTTTGCTATAATCAATAACTTACATGCCTATCTCTACCACAACACTGTCCCTTCTCCCAGGGCAAGAATCTTACACCAAATGCTTGACACATCCAAGGCATTCAGTATTTACTGAACAAAGAAATAAAACCATGTCTTTGATATTCATAACAGATAAAGCAAAGACTGATACCAAACATGGTATATTATGACTTTCAGAAGTTCATTAGGAAAAAATTAAACACTACCTTTGCCCCAACAGTAAAAAAAAATTACAACTCTTTTTTTTTTGAGAGAGAGAGAGCGCACATTTGAGTGCGCACGCGCACAGGGGTAGCATGATAAGGGCGGAGGGAGAGGGAGAGAATCTTAAGCAGTCTCCCTGCCCTGCGAGGGCCCAACTTGGGGCTCCATCTCACAACCCTGAGATCATGACCTGAGCAAAAACCAAGTCAGATGCTTAACCAGCTGAGCCACCCAGGTGTCCCTACAACTCTTAACCCCAACAAGACATCTTAGATTTTAAAAATGATAAAATCACAGTTATAAAATGAAATAAACACAAATTAAATGAATGTATGAATGTGCTTTATGCAGCATGTGATATGCCAAAAGACACCATGGTACTATATTATCAACAGGTCACCTCTCTGAATCTTGCCAAGATTTCTCCTGTTCATAATCTTTCACTGCTTTCTCTGATTTGTCCTCTTTGTCCTCCCTCTTTCTTCCTCGTTTCTTTCGTTCTTCTTCTTCTGGGGGTTTGCTCCTACACGCCATCAGACATTCCAAAACTCTCTGATGTTTCTCCGAGTTGTTGATATGAGCTCTAACAAGGGTTTCTAATTCATTCCACATGATACGGTATTGTTCATCTCTGAAGTAAAGATTTAAAATAAGGTTCTTAGAAATACTCTTTAAATAATAACTGAAGTGTCACTTGCTACTGGTAAAATAAAGTAAAAAGGAATCATTAAACATGGACTTTTTCTTCCGAGACAGTTCATGGTGTAATCCTAAGTTATAATATCCAATTCTGCTATTCTGTATTTTATATCGTCTCAATCATATCTATGTGTATATATGTGTGTATATATATATACCTCCAACCATATAATTTACATATGAAATAAGTTAGCTTAAAAAACAGTATTATCAAGTGATGTGATATATAGAGAAAGTAAGAAAAAAACTACCTCTTAGGGCCTTTTCCTCTTGTACCAACTGTGGAAATAGGCAGAGGATCATTTTTCCTTTCCATATCAACTAAGTTGTATATTGTTTTTTGACAGTTTAACACATCTTCTTCTGTCAAAGATTCTTTCACAATAACACTGGCTAATGGAACTACCTGTTAGAATTTTTTTAAGAAATAAAAAGAAAATCTGTCTTGAAAATCAAGTTATCAAAGCATCTAGGGAGAACATCAATTGATTTTAAACATCACCATGGTGACCTATAATCATCATTTCAATTTTCTATTAGTAATTCTTTATCTGTAGAAAACTCATGTATTTGATTCTTTGCTCAAGGAATGGTATCTGTAAAGAACATGTAATTAATCTAGAAGAAAGGTTGAAAACTATTTAATACTTACCGCTTGCATGTTAAAAATGGTGGTTTGTGAAATAATCATAGGCCAGTAACGGGTGTGTTTTTCTAACTGATCTTTTGCTCGTTCCAAGGGGATCTCAAGACTTCCATCGATTTTATATCTGGGGTCTAGAAAAGGAGTTAATCTGTTTTCCCTCATAAATTCACCAAAATCCTAATGATAACCAAATAAAATAAAATTAGAAACTATTTTCTAATGTTTCAGTATGGATTACATGTAATAGTCTGTTTCCCTGATGTCTTCTGTCCTGTGATATGCAACTAAGTATTTTCTCTAACAGTCCCCTTACTAATTTTTTCCCTTCTTTTTGAACATGAAGCCTATCAGCCTTTGTTACAGTGGAGATGAAGAAAGCCTCAAACATAAATGCATTCATGGTTCTTTCTACTTTTTAAAAACCAAGGAACACTCATTTTTCTTCACTTCTATAATTTAACTCTTTTATACCATACACAGATAAAAGAAGGGATTAATCATATTAGAATACCAATGCTTACCTTGACATAACATCAAAATGTTAATAACGGTTATCTTTAAATGATGAATAACAGGTAATTTATAGTCTTTGTTTTTGATTTAAAAAAAGGTATCTAATTCCCTAAATTTTCTACAAATATTAGTTTTCTCCTTATTAAAAAAAGACAAAAAAATAATAAAGGAAAACCTAATCAAAAATAATTACCTGCAGTATGTAACATTTTCGTGATTTACAAAGTACAGTCCTATACAGTAATCACATTTAATTTTCACAACTACCTCAAAGTAAACAACCATGAAGTACTGAATGTAAAAGAGGGGAGGGGGACTGAAAAATTAAAATCAGAACAGAATTTCTACCCAAAATAGACACAACTTCCTCGCATATGCCTTTAAATAACAAAAATTTAGTATTATTTCAAAATAGCAGCAACCAAATATTGAAATGTTTTTATTTGCCATTAAGTTACCAGAAAATAAACTTCCACCTGAAATACTAGTTCAAACCAATTTCCATTCTTTCCTACAATTCCAGGTGTCATTGCTATCCATACACTGAATACATAAGGAAGACTATATAGTGATAAGTAGCTCTTCTAAGTATTATAGAAAAGTCACCTAATCAAAATAAGAATATAATATCATCAACTTCTCCAAACCCCATTTTGTCACAGATCTTAGCAATGTAATAGGCATTCAATAACTACTTGCTGAATGGTGACAGAGTCAAAACATAAAATTTATAAATATTAGAATCTTACTGTGATCCGGTAGTCTGTAACTCTGCCTCCACATCCTTCACTAATTGAAGGTGGATCTTCTAGAATGGATCGAGAACTGCTAAGGACATGCAAAAAAATCTCTCCTCCATGGCTACTAAGCATATGACTAATGACTTTGGAACCTGACTTTCGTGGTTGTTCCAATAAAACAGAACGACCTGTCAAAAGCAAGATTATTCTATCAGTGATGAAGTTCAATTTAAATTCTTATTTTTTCCCTTAAAATTTATGTCTAGATTTTTCATTTTATTAAACCTCATATTTTAAGTAGCATTGGCCAACTCAGTATATCTGCATTTCAAGTCCTAGAAGTCTGAATTCTAGCCTTAGCTTTCTCTTGGTCACTCCAAGCGTACACAGTTATACAGTTTTCCAAAATAAGTACAGTGGTCTCTGGTATATATAATGTTTGGTTACATTCTTCATACAAGTACATAAAATTTTTCCCCTGGACATCAAGAAGAAAAGTGAGACAACTGCTGGGTAACTCTCCAATTATCAAAGCTACACAATATTGGGGGAGAAAGCAAAGTCTCCATTCACTTCCACAATACCTTCTATATATCAGCATGGTTATCATAACTACTTTCTATTTCACATGACTGAAGGTTATTTAATCTGGACTTTATACAGTCTGATTATCAAATTTTGTTTAATTTTGACCCATCACATCAGTGGTTTCAAAACTAGTTGATCACAAGAATAACTGGAGAAGCAATTAAGAATTTAAATCTAGTAAATGAACTCTAATAATTTTTTTTAAATTTTCACACAAGGAAACCATGGATTTGAAGTCCTATGTGTTAAGAATCATATGGTATAATGTTGAAAATATAATATTTATTTATGATTAAGGTAAACTGTGCAAAAAAGAAGTCCATATATACTTAGCAATTTAAAATTCAAGACTAAAATAGTCTGTATTATTTTGCCAAAAAAATCAACTTAGACTCTAACAACCAAATTTTTAAATTAAAAATACTTATATATTAAATAACACTTTTTTTTTTAAATAACACTTTTTTTAGATACAACAATCCGAAAGGCATAAAATCATCTTATTTTTAAACATCAGTAAAACTGCTAAAAGAGTACTTACGATTACATAACTTTAGAAGAGTTTTGGGAGATAAAATATGTTTAGACTATCTTAAAGAAAAGAGCTTTTTAGAGTTCAGATTTTCAAATTTCTTACTAATAATTTCACTTGTAATATTCTCAGACAAAACAACTAAATGTTGAAAATTACCATTTAGAAGAAAATTAGTAAGGCAGGAGGAAGGTCTACTATTTACGTCTACAGGTGAAATTCGGTAAGCGCCAGTGCAATAGTGTAATTCTGAAATGGAAGAAAACACTGATTTGAAAGAATATAAAGGAATATTTCCACAATTAAAAGAGAAAAAAAAAATGTTCACTGAGCCCCTAAAACAATGAAAAACAAAAATTCAAAAAGAAACTAATGATCCCTATATATAAATATATATTTTAAGAACCTTTCATTTATTCTTTTCTCTTTCAGTTTCTTTAAAATACCTACCAATGTTATTTGTCCTGGGTGTGCACCACTTTAACGTTATCGTTTCTTTAAATGAACCTTCTCTACTGCTGCCACCTATGTGGGTATCACCTTTAAGAATAAGCCAGAAAAACATTACGAAATAGGTCATAAACTTCAAACTGTTAACCCAAGGCTTCCAAAACATTACTAAATAGGTCACAAACTTCAAACTGTTAACCCAAGACTTCCAAAACTCTAGAAAATACCTCTGGGAGAACATCATTTTTATACAGTCTCCTAGAAAAATACCAAATGGAATTTGGATATTAGCTCTGATTAAAATAAATATTCAATTATCTCCAAATTTCTCATTAATTAATCTTATCATTTCAGTCACTGCACTGAAAGTCGATAGCAAAAAATTTAAAAATCTACATCTGCTCCCCTCTGACACCATTAAATGATAAGATAACATGGTTAAATACTGAAAGATGGCTTCAGGAATCTAAAACACAACTGATCTTACTGAATCCTAATGAATTTATGAGAAGAAACATAAAATGAGGGGTCTAGAAAGTAAAAATATAAAAGGATGTAACAGTGAGCATGTTTTGCCTTAATGAAGTCTACAGTAAAATGGAGTGAACAGATGTTAATAAGATAATAATGAACAAACACAAACTATAAAGTTGACAAAGCTTTGAAGAAGATGTATACAGTACCATGAGCATCTATATAAAGAGATCTGACCTAATCTAAGACATTAGGGGAAGGTTTCTTTGAGAAGTGAAAACTAGTTTCAGTCTAAAAGGATAAGTAGAAATTAACAAAGAGGGCGCCTGGGTGGCTCAGTTGGTTAAGCGACTGCCTTCGGCTCAGGTCATGATCCCGGAGTCCCGGGATCGAGTCCCACATCGGGCTCCCTGCTCAGCGGGGAGTCTGCTTCTCCCTCTAACC